GTTACACTCTTCAGTTGTATCATTTAAGATATAGCCTTTGAGTGGTTAAGAGAGAGGGCAGCAAAAAACCTCTTCCAGAACCGAAACACGATTGCATAGACAACATTCACTGGAAATACACTTATACACACACACTCAAAAGAAGTTTGTGCCTCCCCTTTGAGCAGAAAACTGATGATCGCCATTGCTTTTGGAATTCCTTTCAAAACGAAGAAATAGGAAGCAACGCTGCTGGTTCTCTTAGTGAGAGGGAAGTGACAGGCGACGCTGTTGTTGCGAGGAAATTCTTTTGGGGAAAAGGCAATCACAGCAATTAAGTCATTGTACTCATAGTTGCTACCTGATTTATGCTTCGTTTTTGCTGACTTGAAAACGAAAGTACACACTTCACAAGAGATATGATTCTTTCAGCCAGTATCCATCTTCGCATTCCATTTGGACAGATTGTCACCTTTCAACCATCACCTTTTCTACATATCCTATTTTATTCCAGATCTTAGATACACCTCCTGAAAATTCAATTTTCAAGAACTCAGAGGTCACAGAAACTTCTAACAAAACGTTGTAACCTTGTCATTTCTCCAGTATTAGTTTTGTTGTTTTTTGGATAGACAATCCTGTCTAGCAAGTACAATAGTGTAATTGCACCTATTTACGAAACACTTGCTAGAAAATTTACTCTGAGTATGTTTGTAGCTTGCGTAAAGTGGTGAGAGCATTTGAATGTCTTACCGACAGAAATTCAAAGATATCATTTCTGAGGCGGGCAGAAAAAAACATAATGTTTTCCCTTCAGTTGTATACAAAGCTAAAAACGTTTATATTCCATGTCTATGTGTTATACAAATCCCAATTTCTGTTATTTAAATGTTCAGAGTTCGTACATGATCATGCCGCGATCAGATGAATATAATAAGCTCCCTGTCTAAGTTTTCATGAAAATTTCGTTTTTATTGACTTGTTAATGTTTTGGCACTTTTTTTTCTCTATGAACATCCACCTACAGCTGCCGAGAAGATATGCAACAAGCTG